GAGAGAGAGAGAGAGAAAGAAGAGAGAGAGAGAGATTCAATAATTATTTTTATACAATCTGCAACAAGATTTACAACCCTGTTCACTCTCCTCTCAGGTTACTTGTGGGAGGAGCTGAGAGAGGACAGTCTGGCTCCTGATTCGCTGGTGGCAATCAGCCCCTCACCCTCCTCTTCCCAGCCAACACACTTCCTCCTGGGGTCCAGTCTGAGGAGCACCGGTCCTGTCAACCAGACATCAGAGTTTGATCTCCGTCGGGCTGGGAGGAAGAGGAGGAAGATGAGGAGATGGGGGGAGGATGTGGAGGTCCATCAGACCTCCATATTAATGGACAGTACCACACAGCCTACCCAGGTGTAGAGAGCTTGGCAGGTTACCTCACTTCCATGGGAAACACCCCCATACCTCTGCTTTGAAGCCCAGGAATGGGGCTCCCTTCGTGGAATAGCTCACCAAGACCTTCCCCCTGGACCTCCAGGGCAACTCAAGATTGGGGTTGTGAAGGTCAAGACTTATCACAAAGGGCTCAGTTTGAAAGTGAATGTAGCAAAGAAACAGTGACAATATTGTGCACAGTTTGATCACAATCAAACATTATATTTTGCTTTGCTTTGAACATGCAGAGCATGTTGACTCAATTTGTCTACAATGAGCCTGAATAGAATGTGTGAGTAGGGGTTCAGGTTTTATCATAACCTTGTTAACAATATGTTTTTATTAATATTAATGACTGTGGCTGGGTCAAATTCAAGACTTGACATTCATGAGAATGAATGGATCCAAAAGCTCATGACACACCTGACTGTTCAGTGATTAGGAGTAGAGTGCAGTACCACCTAACTTCACACAAGATGGCAGCAGAGAGCTGTAGTGACAGGGACTTATGTAATGGAACGTTAGAGTAGTAGACAGAAAAACAGTGCTAATGACATTTCTTCCTTATTCTACACTACAGAGAATCATATCTGTTCTACACAATACATTTCTATGTTGAACATTCTGTGAAGTCACATTCTCCTGAATAAGCCCCCTGGTGTGATATGTTCCCACTATTGGAATTTGCATTTTATACAGTTTATGGTGATGAGATGATTCAAGCCATCTGGTTTTTAGCTCAAATCTAATGAATGTAATTATAAAATTTGTCTTAGCATAATTTCTGATACGAAACAGAAAACATACTCACTGTTTACTCAATTAACTTTCAAAGCTTTCTAGCTAAACTTACCATTGAGGATGGAAGTCAATATCAAGGCACCAGCCAGACAACTGTTCTCAGGCCTTCCTCTGGTTCCTGCAGGCCCTATCTAATAATTTAGCTTCCATAATTATGAAAATTAATAAGGTGACATCACCTTACCAGGCCCTTTTTCTTGTGAGACGTAACTAAGTACATAGTAAACTGTCTTTGATTTATAGCTCTTGAACTGATTCATGATTTTATATTCTAATCTAGACTATTTGTTCTGCGTCTATCTATGCAATTCATTTTTTCTAATTTCTGTCCATCACAAATCTAACCAGTCATTGTAAAACAACATTTGTTATAACTGACTGTTCCCACATATTGTAGCTGGTGTCATCTTGGTATCAAGTGAAAAAAGACCACAAGACGCATTTCAAGACTTCCCAAAAAACCCACATATATTTATTTCTCTGAGTGGCATTTCAACTGTCCAAACTTTACATAATTTTAATTTACAATAACCATAGTTCTTATAAATAAATCTGCAGATCTCTTGAGACTAAATAGTATGTGCTGGATATCAAAATGAATATCTGATTTTGAGTTCCTATATGACTATCCTTCTACTACTTTTAACTCCTCAAAGTGGCTATTTAAAAAAATACTTTTGAACATAAAACTATGAGTATGTGGAAATAAACACGACTAGGGTTGCAAAATTCCAGTAACTTTCCTAAAATTCCCAGGTTTTCCGGAATCCTGGGTTGGAAGATTCCAGGAATCAGGCTGGTATAACAAATCCAGGAATCCTCCAAAAGGGACTTCTGGAAAACCAGGGAATTTTGGAAAAGCTAGAATTTTCCAGCCCTAAATACGACACATTCACATTAAAAGAGTACCTGTCCCATTCTACGACGTACTGTATGCTAATGGCATTCAACTGGTTTCTACTGGAATGGTGATCGACAAAGAACCTCATCAAACGGCAGTACTAACTGTAAGTCGCTCTGGATAAGAGCGTCTGCTAAATGACTAAAATGTAAATGTAAATGTACTATTCCTATCAGGGACAATGAGTCATTCAGAGCTAATGGATATTTATTTGAAATTCAATTAACTTTTATGACTTTCTTTAACAGTAAAAAAAAGTAGCAGAACCCTAGTAGAAATATATAGGTTCTGCTTGCTCGACTACAATACATGTTTTGATGATGTCAGAGAATTGTGTGTCTGTGTCACTTGGTCCTGCGAGAGACAGCTGGTCTGTCTGTCTGTCTGTCTGTCTGTCTGTCTGTCTGTCTGTCTGTCTGTCTGTCTGTCTGTCTGTCTGTCTGTCTGTCTGTCTGTCTGTCTGTCTGTCTGTCTGTCTGTCTCTGTTGTTTAAATAGCTAAATGTCAATGAGACGAAGTGCAAATAAGCAGACCCTCTATCTCTCTATCTCTCTATCTCTCTATCTCTATATCTCTCTCTATCTCTCTCTCTCTTTCTCTCACTCTTCATTTTTTCTGTCTCTCCTTTTTCTTTCTTTCCCGCTCTCTTTTTCTCTTTAGCAGATTGACTGAGGCCTTGAGAACACACTGACTAGACATTCAATCTCACTCATTGTGACTGGCCCTTATATACTGTCCTGGTTGTGCTTTTATTTTGTCTAGATCAGGCCACATCAGATGTGTCCCATAGCGAAGGTCTGTGTGTGTTTATGTATGCTAGAATGTGTACACATCTACAACACTCTCTATCAGACACAGAAACACAAGTTGAGAGGTCATTGCAAGAGACTGGAGTAGGGGATTGCAATTGAGGGGATAACAAGCAATGGGGGAATTCTGATTGGAGAAATAAAGCTGCTGAGAGTGAGAGAGGCTGTCCATCAGTCCTGTTGCTTGTGACCTGTCAGTCCGTCCATACGTCTCTCCGTTCGTCATCTGTCTGTCTGTCTGTCTGTCCATGGTCCCATGGGGGGGTTTGAGTTGGAGTTGGGTTGGGTCTAGGTGTCTAGGGGGGTCCTGTGCTCCTACGGACTCCCACTGTAGGAGTAGTCTGCCTTGTTGTGCATCACCAGCTTGTTGTCCACAAAGTAGAAGCTGTCGGACTGCGTTTTGTATGGGTGAAGGATCATCTCACGCACTGAGGAAGAAGAGAGAGGAAGGACACGTCAGTGTGTGTGTGTATGCGTGTGTGTGTTTGAGTGAGTGTGTGTGTGTGTGTGTGTGTGTGTGTGTGTGTGTCGGACTGTGTCGTATGGGTACAGGAAATGCATGCTATGTCTGCGTCTCTGTTTCTATGTGTGTCTATACTCACTGATGTCCTCTGACAGAGGGGGGAACTCGTAGATGTGTTCACAGGTGTTCTTGCTGCTGGGCATACAGAAACCAAACTCAAAATCAAAGCTCTTGAGGAGCTGCTCTCTGAAGTAGTGCCTCTCAATCATCCTGAAGTTGTTGATGGGCATGTCTCCCACTGTGAACTCCACACTGTGTCAGAGAGAACAGGGGGACAGAGAGATCCGATAAACTATTGGAAACACACTTATACACATCATTTGTTTGTTATAGTTTGTTGCAGAACCAAAGTATAATTCCATGTTTCCTCATTTGCCCCCTCTACAGTAGCCCTTTCCTGCAGTCAAATGACTAGTGGCCTCATGGGTGGAATGTTATTCATATTTTTCATAATTTCATAATTAATAAACATTATTTTTTTTAAACTGCCGGAAATCTGGTGTTTCTATGTCAAAAGGTTTTGTTATATTTCAGTCTTCTGTGATGTATATAAAGTGTAATATTGGGATGCAAACTCCAAATGTAATACATTTCAACTCTATATCTGACATGGTACAGCTGTCTTCTTTTCTTTAAGCCCATAACTATGTGTGTGACGTAGATTTGTTTAAGACTACCAATAAATCCTCTGTGAGACCCTGACTTAGCCCACTGCAGTAAAAGGTGAATTAATAACAACTGGCCTGACTGTCTTTTTTCTCACCTCTCTTTCTCTCGCTCTTTCTCCCTCACTCTGCCTCCGTTTTTCCCTCTCTCTTTCTCTCTCTCTCCCGCTCTCTTTCTCTCTCTCCCCTCTCTCTCTCTCTTTCTCCCCCTACTGTATGGCCTTCCTGCCTCCTTGGTATCTGTCACACACAAACACGCACACAAGCACGTAGGCACGCACACACACACACACACACACACACACACACACACACACACACACACACACACACACACACACACACACACACACACACACACACACACACACACACACACACACACACACACACACACACACCACCTCTCACTCTCCGAGAATAGCCCTCCCCATCTGTCTGCTCTCAGAAGAGAACAGCATGGCACTGAATGGCCACCACACCACCACCCTTACACACCCACACCCACTATTGGCCATCTTAGCTGTGACTTACGTGGCTCCGACCTGGCGCAGCTGCAGGAAGGCAGGGGTGAACTGGTAACGGACAAAGCGGCCTCCGTTGGGGTCAAAGTCCTTCTTTTCGCCCGCTGCCACAGTGTCACAAAAGACACCGCGTTAACAAGCCTGCTGTTTTGAAGCACGGTCTCTCTGCTGTGTACCTCTCTGAATAGACACTGTTTCAGAGGCTTAGATGATCAACTCACACAGCGAAATAACCCCTTCTCAGTGGAGACCTAGCTAACAGGAGTAATTCATTCATGAATCATGCATAATACTGCCTGGGCCTAGTTAACCCAGAGGTATATGCTGCTCATACATACAGTAGGTCTTAAAAGCTCTTCGTCATCAGAGGCTATGAACTGTAGTTTAGTGCCACAAGTCATATATCCTAGGCTCTAATAAGAGAGCATATTTATTTTTTTATTTTTATTTTACCTTTTATTTTTAACTAGGCAAGTCAGTTAAGAACAATCTCTTATTTACAATGATGGCCTACACCGGCCAAACCCGGACGACGCTGGGCCAATTGTGCACCGCCCTATGGGACTCCCAATCACGGCCGGTTGTGATATGTTAACATGTATCTATGAATATGAATATGTTAGGGAACACAAATACTAACGGTTATATATAGCACAGACAGGCCTTTTACTTACCTGGTGCTGGTGGTTTGTTGATCTCAAACAGCACCGTCCCTGTCTCCATGTCTCCATAAAATACATTACCAACATATAGCTTATACACAGTAAATGTATCTAATATCTGTGCTGTATAATACGGTAGTTTCAACATAGCATGTACCTGGTGCAGGGGGTTTGGTGATCTCAAACAGCACCGTCCCTGTCTCCATGTCTCGGATCTTGAACCGTGTGAAGTCGATCATGTGAACGTTTTCCTCTGGGGAACATAGGTAGTCTGAAACAGAAAGGGGACAGGACACCTTTTAGTCTGAATACAGTAGGGCTACGTACTCTACAGAACACCTTTTAGTCAAAGGAATGAACAGTAGAAAGACTATGTGATACTTTTACGATACTTTTGTTTACATTCATGAACATTCTAGAATTGCCAACCTCTTGCATACAAAATAGACCAGAAATGTTTAGTATATTAGTATAAAAGTTCACTTTGATCAAATAAAGGAATATAAAAGCATGAAACTTAGCACACTTGTACACCTGGACTACAAGTAATAATATCTATGTTATATGGCAATTATGCAGTTGTTACAGCCTTGTGCATACTGATTCAGCTCTTCCAAAACATGTCCTCATAGGAGAACCCTTTTTGGTTCCAGGTAGAATCCTTTTATGTGCCATGTAGAACCCTCTCTGTGGAAAGGGTAATACAGTGGGGGAAAAAAGTATTTAGTCAGCCACCAATTGTGCAAGTTCTCCCACTTAAAAAGATGAGAGAGGCCTGTAATTTTCATCATAGGTACACGTCAACTATGACAGACAAAATGAGGGGGAAAAAATCCAGAAAAACACATTGTAGGATTTTTAATGAATTTATTTGCAAATTATGGTGGAAAATAAGTATTTGGTCACCTACAAACAAGCAAGATTTCTGGCTCTCACAGACCTGTAACTTCTTCTTTAAGAGGCTCCTCTGTCCTCCACTCGTTACCTGTATTAATGGCACCTGTTTGAACTTGTTATCAGTATAAAAGACACCTGTCCACAACCTCAAACAGTCACACTCCAAACTCCACTATGGCCAAGACCAAAGAGCTGTCAAAGGACACCAGAAACAAAATTGTAGACCTGCACCAGGCTGGGAAGACTGAATCTGCAATAGGGAAGCAGCTTGGTTTGAATAAATCAACTGTGGGAGCAATTATTAGGAAATGGAAGACATACAAGACCACTGATAATCTCCCTCGATCTGGGGCTCCACGCAAGATCTCACCCCGTGGGGTCAAAATGATCACAAGAACGGTGAGCAAAAATCCCAGAACCACACGGGGGGACCTAGTGAATGACCTGCAGAGAGCTGGGACCAAAGTAACAAAGCCTACCATCAGAAACACACTACGCCGCCAGGGACTCAAATCCTGCAGTGCAAGATGTGTCCCCCTGCTTAAGCCAGTACATGTCCAGGCCCGTCTGAAGTTTGCTAGAGTGCATTTGGATGATCCAGAAGAGGATTGGGAGAATGTCATATGGTCAGATGAAACCAAAATATAACTTTTTGGTAAAAACTCAACTCGTCGTGTTTGGAGGACAAAGAATGCTGAGTTGCATCCAAAGAACACCATACCTACTGTGAAGCATGGGGGTGGAAACATCATGCTTTGGGGCTGTTTTTCTGCAAAGGGACCAGGACGACTGATCCGTGTAAAGGAAAGAATGAATGGGGCCATGTATCATGAGATTTTGAGTGAAAACCTCCTTCCATCAGCAAGGGCATTGAAGATGAAACGTGGCTGGGTCTTTCAGCATGACAATGATCCCAAACACACCACCCGGGCAACGAAGGAGTGGCTTCGTAAGAAGCATTTCAAGGTCCTGGAGTGGCCTAGCCAGTCTCCAGATCTCAACCCCATAGAAAATCTTTGGAGGGAGTTGAAAGTCTGTGTTGCCCAGTGACAGCTCCAAAACATCACTGCTCTAGAGGAGATCTGCATGGAGGAATGGGCCAAAATACCAGCAACAGTGTGTGAAAACCTTGTGAAGACTTACAGAAAACGTTTGACCTGTGTCATTGCCAACAAAGGGTATATAACAAAGTATTGAGAAACTTTTGTTATTGACCAAATACTTATTTTCCACCATAATTTGCAAATAAATTCATGAAAAATCCTACAATGTGTTTTTCTGGATTTTTTTCCCTCATTTTGTCTGTCATAGTTGACGTGTACCTATGATGAAAATTACAGGCCTCTCTCATCTTTTTAAGTGGGAGAACTTGCACAACTGGTGGCTGACTAAATACTTTTTTCCCCCACTGTACATGAAACCCAAAAGAGTTCTACCTGGTACCAAAAAGGGTTCTTCAAAGGGTTCTCCTATTGGGAAAGGCGAAGAACCCTTTTATGTTCTAGATAGCACCCTTTTTGCAGATCTGTGCCTAAGGGACAACATCTACAGCCCTGTTACATACACTAACCTCTCCACAGGCTGTGGATCAGGACTAAGAGGCTTACATTGTTTCACCGTCACATGGACAGCTTGGAAGAAGCTAAGGGGATTTGGGGAAACTATAGGTTTTGCTGTACTGTAACCCCCATTCCCCCGACACCACCCCACACATTGACCACTGCACCCCTTTCATACACCCCTCCCTACCTGCATCCCATTAACAGAAACTACAGGTGGGCACCTGCTTTTGATATAACTTCATGTCAAAACTGTACTGGGGCAGAATCGTAAGAGTTCAGCGAGCCCTCACACACACTCATATGGAAAACATAAACAACACTCTCTCCTCTCGATTCGCGTTCTTATCGTGGCGGGGGGGGGTGGGGGGGGGGGGGTCTTTCGGTACTCTGGGGGGGTGGTGCTCTCGTCTCTAGCCCCCTCTCTCTTATCTCATAAAACTCTCCTCCCCGGGCCCCCCCTCCTCTCTCTCTCTCTCTCTTTTTTTCTTCCAAGGGGAAAAAAGGGGGGTTTTTTTTCTCGGAAATGGAGAAAAACCCCCTTTTTTTTTTTTTCCACGGTCTGTTTGGCGAGGGGGGGTTAAAAAGGGGGGTTTTGATTTGTGTTTTCCCCTCTTTTTTTGTGTTTTTAAGGGGGGTGTGTTAAAAAATTTACCAAAAACCCATCTTAAGGGAAAAAAATTTTTGGGGCCCCTTTGTTACATTTAAAAAAGGGAAAAGGCTTTGGAACCCCGGGGTTTTGGGGGGTGTGTGTGGGGTTTGTGGAGGGGTTGGGGACTTCCCCGGGGGTTGGATGGGTTTGGTATTCCGCTCCCCCTTTTTATATTTAAAAAAGTGTTTCCCCCCAATTGTGTGTTGGGAATTGTTGGGGGGTGTGTGTGAGGGGGGTATTCGGAAGGGGGGTTAAATTTTTTAGGGGACAACAAAGGAAAAGGTTTACCAAATCTTGTGGGAAAAATTCCTTAACCGGAACGCCCCCCCCTTCAAAAGCCCCCCTGGTTTAAAAGGGTCCATTTTTTTAATTGGGAGCCCCTTTGGAACCCCCTCTGTTTTTTTTGGGGGGTTGGGGGGGGTGGGTTGGGGCTTTTAACAAAAAAAATTCCCCCTTTGATTGTTACTGGGTCCCTTTGGAAAAATTTAAATCCCCCACTTAATATTTTTTCCAACCACCGGGCAACCCCCAAAAAACCCAAGAAAAAAAAATTGACTTAAAATTTTTTGGGGGATCGGTTTTATTTTTAAAGGGGGGAAAACCCTTTTTTTCAAGAAACCCCCATGCTACCAAAATTTAATTCTAATGGAAAAAATTTTATTTTAAAACATTTCCCCTGGGAACCCCTTTAAAGGAAGTTCATTTCCCCGGAAAATTTTAAATTCCGGCGGAAATAAACCGGCCCTCCCTAATTTCCCTGTCTGGTAAAAAATTGTGGATCCTCTGGTGTGTGTGGGTGTGGTGGGTGTGCTGGCAGATGGCGTATTCCCTGTGAGTGGACTGGGTCTCCTGGCTACTTTCCATCTCACCTACTACCCAATTATCATTATAATCCACACCACAGTACTACTACACCCACACATAGATAGTAAAAATTGTACATACTGTATGTGTGTGTGTGCATGCGTGTGTATTCTGTACTGGTGGGGTAATGGACATTTTTAATAGGTAAGACCAGGGTCTATGTCTAAGGCCAGAAAGGTTATCTCAGGTGAGAGTGGAGTTGATGGGAAAGCACTTAGCACTGGGACATAACCGGAAGTCAGTCCAACCACACCACATCAAATGCCTGCTGGAATAACAGGCCAGTCAATAGATTTACTGTACATGTAAGCAGCTCTCCAATTTAAACCAGCAACCACAAACTCTGTGATATTTACTTCTGAGGCCAACCTACTGTAAGCTCTGTGGGTTACAGTGCTTCACAAAATAACTCCAATTGATGTATGAGCAGTGGTGTAAAGTACTTAAGTAAAAATACTTTAAAGTACTACTTAAGTAGTTTTTTGGGGGGGTATCTGTAACTTTACTTTACTATTTATACTTTTACTTTTACTTCACTACATTCCTAATGGAAATAATGTACTTTTTACTCCATACATTTTCCCTGACACCCAAAAGTACTTGTTACATTTTGACAGGAAAATTGTCAAATTCATTATCAAGAGAACATCCCTGGTCATCCCTACTGCCTCTGATCTGGCGGACTCACTAAACACAAATGCTTTGTTTGTAAATTATGTCTGAGTGTTGGAGTGTACCCCTGGCTATCTGCCAATTTAAAAAAAACAAGAAAATTGTGCCATCTGGTTTGCTTAATATAAGGAATTTGAAACGATTTATACTTTTACTTTTACTTTTGATACTTAAGTATATTTTAGCAATTGCATTTACTTTTGATACTTAAGTGTATTTAAAACCAAATACTTTAGACTTTTACTCAAGTAGTATTTTACTGGGTGACTTCCACTTTTACTTGAGACATATTCTATTAAGGTATCTATACTTTTACTCAAGTATGACATTGAGTACTTTTTCCAGCACTGTGTATGAGGCTTATCTGTACTACTGAGAATATCATGAGTCTGGACTACTTCAAGTTTCAAGTTTTATTTGTCACATGCACAAGTACAGTGACCTTACTTAAAAGCCCTATCCAACAGTGCAGTATTCAACATCAAAATAGTATTTAAAAAAAACATTTTAAAAAACAGGAGAAGTAAGAAATAAGAGAGGATGAAAAAGACAAAAACAGAAGAATGTATTCAGGGTCAATAGCAAATTCACAATGTGCAGGGATACTGGAGTATTGAGGTACACTAC